TTTTTTTCCAATGATTTGGTTACTGACACAATTGCTTATAAGTCCAAGTCTTGCTAGATAGTAAATTTATGTTAGTGCATCGAGAGTGCAATTATAGTCAAACTATACTCGAAGAGTTAACCATAGAGAAACAGTTTTGGACCAACTAGTGACATGATGTTGTACTGTGTGTATTGACTTGTGTGGCTATGTAAAGCCAAGAAACCTGTATAAAAATACAGCTAAAGCACAGTAGTTATGATACTGGAAAAAAGAGACAATGCACCGTGTTCAGTGAACTGATGATGTTTGTGAATAAATAATGGCGGAGAACATCGAAAAGAGGAAACACGTCTCCCTGTCTTATCATTTCTTTCCTGTATTACAGGATATATACATCTGCTTACAGGTGTTAGATTCTGATACCTGTAACACATATATCTTGATTGACACATACCTTTATATTTATGTTTAAACTCGTCAATTCTATTACTATTTTGTTTTCCTTTCTCGTGCCAGGGGACGAAGAGGGCTGTTTTGACTACATCAGTGGTTTTATGTACAGCAAGTCCTTATTAGAACTTGAGGATTCAGGTATGGCTCATTTACTTGAACTGAAAAATGTGGTAGATGCAGTCAGGAAAGGTTATGCTACTGGTGCACAACCAAATGTAACAAGTAATGATGGCGCAAATGAATCGTTTTCAAAAAGTGATGCTAATGCTGAACCAAGTAATACAAGTGGTGATATTAATGTGCCTGTACCTAATGATATTGAAGTTGCTGTAACAGATAGCGCAAGTCACAGCGCAACCACTGCACATAATGCCACACATGACACAGAAATACAGAAACTACTCACTAGTTATGAGGAGCTTAGTAAGAAAATGATGCAATATGTGCCCACACTCACTCAGACAGTACCACAGTCACCTGCAAAGCCTGTGTCACAGAGTAGATGGTTAACAGGGCACTCCGACTATGCAGCACCCGATAAATTAGTCTCCTTAAGAGATCTTTCCTACCTTCATCGAAGAGAATTCAAGATTCAAGGGGGTCAAATTGGAGATCTAGTTTCAGACATCAGCTATAACAGCAT